ATATTTTTATCACATTTGTTAAAATAAACATAACATAAAATCGTAAAATTTTTAAACTGTCATAAAAGATTTAAAAAATAATAAAACTCAAGGTGCATTTTAACAACATTTTTATATTTTAACATTTTAACTAAGTTGAATGAAAAAAAAAAATATATATAGAATATAAGATATTTGTTAGAGATAAGCAAGTGTAGCGTTAAAATATCGAATGTGCTAAACTGGATGAAGTTGCGTTTACCTAGTTTTATGGTAAATAATACGTTTTGCGTGTCCGGTCTTAAATTATAATAAAATTCGAGTTGCGGCGGTTAACATTCTAAAACAACGTGAACTTACGATCAGTTATCGAATTCACAGTAGGTAACTCGAGTTAGGTGCCTAATTGGCGGAGAAAGTCCCGCCAAATGGCGTGCGCCGTAATTAAACGAGTGTTTAATCGCGGTAGCGTATTTCCGAGAGCAAACCCATGATATATTTGTCTCTTGAGAACATTGTGAATAAATCGTAATCGGTGGACGCGATGCAATGTGCGTTATTTTTTGTTTGTCGCGTGTGTGTTAATCGTTTCTGCGAACATAGTGCACTTCAGTTTTAAAAGTAAATTGTGATACAATTATTAGAATATTGACTTCGTGTCTTTCACTTTTTTTCTTCATATCATTTAAATTATTGTGCAAATTTCACGCGGAAATTGCAACAACTAAAGTTTCTTAGCTGACTTCACGTGTAATTGTTCATATCAGACATATGTTTATATTTTTAATCATATTATTTTCATATTAATTATCTTATTGGTAACTTATGACAATTATTGCGTGCGTGTGATATATTTAAAGTGAATTTGTCGTCAACATATCAATGCTTTATTGAAGAAGCTTGTAAGGAATATCATGCGAGATAAGAGATATGTCGTACTTTCAAACGAGTTTTGCTTTAGTTTGAATCGTATAGCGGGTGTCACATATAACACGTACACACTTTATTATCATATCTAGCGTAGGATTATTATTTTTTTAATTTTGATTTTTTGTGACAAGTATCTTTAAAGTATCTTTCATACAAAATATACATCTGTAAGAATCAAACGAGTTGTTCGAATTAAAAACGTTGCAATTTCCGTATTAGAGTATTTTACATAAAATAATTATAAATAATAATTATATGAACAAAGAAAGATTCTATAAATTATCTTTTACAACCGCGGAAAAGACAGAATGTTTCTAATTCTGTTGTTAATTACCAAATACATATGTAACAATAAAAAAATTTGCTTAATGTATACGCTATGAGCTACGTAACACTGGACTCGAGGTAGCTTGTCGATAGAGCAATTTTAGTTACGCGATTTGATGCAATAGGAAGCAGATAACGTCTTTGCAAAATAGTGCAAGTTGTCTTTCACATTTAAACCATGCACGCACATCTGTGCAAACACGGGCGCGAATTCGCAAGAATATAAAAAACGCGATTTATAACAAGCTTCGAACAGACTCTTGCGTCATCGGAATTACATGCAACGAGCACGTCAGACTGATCGATCATTGAGATCCGTTTAAGGATCTCGTGCGGTTATAGTGGATTATGTGACGTAAAATATCGCGGGCGTGCGTGTTTTCCCGCATCGACGCGGAATAGCACAAATTATATGAAAACTTTGAACACACTTTTGTTTTGTATTATTTTATACCACAATTTAGTAATAAATTTCGTCAAAATACAGTTCTATGAACACGAATCTGACGATTGGATTATGTTTCTATAATTATATTATATTTTTATATTTGACGGATTGAATTGTTTATTTTTGATGGTAATCGCGCACACATAAATTTTCAACAAAATACTAGCTTACTCGCAATAAATATTCTCTCGATATAGACTTTCTCGTGTGCTTATCCTGCACTGAGAAAGATACGATTTCTTAGATTAGGTAATGACGTAAATCGGAAGCTATTTAATTTTCTTCTCGAACGATTTTGCCTTCCAATTCTTTGTCAACATATCAAAAACTTGTCATGCGTAAACGTCTATATACGCGTTTCTCGCTTTCACCGAACAACGACACGATAATAAAACTCTAATTTTGACTCGAATGAAACCATCTGTCACCACAAATAATCACGTTCAAATTAATCGCAAAAATACATGCTACTTGTTTAAAAATATTTGCTGTAATATCGAATTTTCTTGTTTCACCGCATTCGCGAGTAATTAAAGTTGAAGATGTTCTCTAGCTTGTTGTTAAGTTCAGTGTTACAGCAAATATCTTGAAGGTAGCTCGTACTTTTGCGATAAATTTAAACTTGATTATTTATAGTTTGTGGAGTGCTAGGCTGATTCGGATCAAATTGTTGTCTACTGCGCGTCGTGTTTGCACGCTTTCTTGACTCAACGCAGTTTTTTTTTCGCGGACGTATCGAAATCTTTTTTGCGTTTTCACCGATATGATACATGCGTCCAGTCGATCGTGAACGTGTACCTATCGATTGCGATTTCTCGAATAAGAGTACATACACTTAAGTGAGTATTATTTGCATATTGTGTATGCAAATAATATTCATATTATCTATAACAAAAATCTATAAACTATATTGTTGACAAATTGAAATACATACGGGCACGACGTCAATCGCAGTTTACTCATATCTTGCTTCGATACAATCTAATTAATTAATAAAGTATGATTGCATGCATAATACATTAGCCAGCATAATGTGGAAAAAGAAACTTATTATTTTAAAAAATTGCAAGAATGAGAGATAAATTGAAGGTTGCTAAAAAAAACAGGTTATATCCGCGTAGAGAAGTGATAGTGTATAAAAGAATATGCTCGGATACAATATTTCGAGAAAGCTATAGTTTTTATTTTTTTGCAAGATTTCTTTGGTAAATCAGAAGTTTACGGCTTTATGGATGAATGTAGAAATGTGTTTCGCTACGTATCACATTTGTGTTTCATGTAAAAAAGCTTACGTAAAGAACAATAGTTGATTGTTGTGTGTGTGATATTGCCTTAACATCACATAGAATGTGCGGGTGTATTACACGCACTTTACTTACGGTCTAACGCGATCAGGATGATTGATTATTATTGCATAACACGCACTTTGTAGGAAACAGGAAATATCTCTATACTGTCAGCTTCTGTATATCGACTTTCTATAATGCGATATCGAAGCCGCTCTATTTTCTCGTGATTAACGCACAATTCTATGTGCGAAAGAAATTTTTCTAGTTATTGAAAATTGACCGAACTCTCAATCTAGTGAAAGGAGAGAGAACCTTTCTTCCGTATATAAATCACTACGACTGAAGCGTTTACCGAAATATCCGATAATCAGTGCGGAAATAAGAGCAACTCTCGTGTTGCTCAAATTTTTTCTAGAATATAAAATAATCTAAAAGTGTATATCTCGCGCTAAAATTTAGAAACTACACGAGAGAAAGGAGGACTGCACGTAATGAGAAGATAATTTAGAGAGACAATACAGTTTTGTCGCATAATAAATGTTATAATATTAAATAAACAGTTCGTTACCGACTATCGTTTTGAGACACGTGTGTTGTGATAGTAAGCATACAAATTACACTTGTATTATAATATCCATTTAGTTAGTAAAATTGAATCGCCTGTGTGTACTTTTAGCACATTCACTTGTAAATCTGATAAACAAAAATCTAAGAGAAAGAAAAAGGCAAATACAGAGAAGATTACGATATTAATTTGTAAACAATTCAGACTCACCGATTCGACACATTTTTAATTCGTCATCCAACAAATTCGAACTAAGCTTTATAATATTTAATAGTTTCTTTGAAAAAACACAAGAATTGGATTTGATAATAATTGCTTAAGAATACATCGTCGACATGAACACAATCTCATAATTGTGATGAAAAAGATATGATGTATTGTGTGGCAAAGAGTTGTGTATTATAATTATTATTTATTATTATTGTTACAAATGTATTGTTGTCCTTAGTCACTTTTTAGTTGTTTTATATTAACTATATTTTTAAGAGTTTTGTTTAGTGCTCTGTGTAACTAAAATCCGGTGCGGATATCCAATCAGCAGATTGCGGACCGCTATGCGATAGCGCGTCCAAGGACGCTGAACAGGAGTTGCACAGACGGCCAAAAAGATGCAACGATCGACATTGTACTTTTTGGGATCCGAATGTCGCGTGTTTCTACTTAGCCAATCACAAACGATTAGTTGATGTATAAAAGATGACATCCGATGATAGAATCACGTTTTAAAAATCGTTTTAAATCGCGCCGGAGGCTCTACCCGATAAAGCTTGCCCCGATCATCACGTAACGCAAGTGTGAGAGATGCAAAATAAGACACTGTAAGTTCTGAATTATTAATAGAGAGGAATTATATTTCTCTGATTTTACAAACTTTGATCATTAAATGTTTCCGGTCTTTTTCCAACTCAGATCTCGATAGTCCACGCGGATAACAATATCTAGATTTAAAAATATTAAAAACCATTATACAAAAATAAATAAGAAATTAGAAAAACGTATCTAAAAGAAAGATAACATCTTATTAGAAAAATTAAGTTCTTTGTCTTTTTTTTCAAACACGGATCTAATTGTATAATGACATTTTATTATAAAATATTATACAATGATATATTACCAGTTTTGTCTTAGCCAAAAAGATAATATAATTTTTAGCCAAAAAGATAATATAATTTTTATTTTTTTCCTAATAAAAACTCCTTTTTCATAAACTCGAGATATAAATTTATTGTTTATTTCCTTTGATTACGTGATGAAATTATACATATTGTTATAACATTAAGGTAAGTAACATTTATATATAAATACACGAAATGTTTTGCTAAATTATATTAAGTTATAAGTAAATCTCTGTTTATTATATAAAAATACTACAACTTAGAGATAACTGGCAGTTAAAAAAACTAACGTTTCCGGTACGTTTTTATCTCCAGTTAACAGATATGATATATCTGTTTCAACAATTCTCAGCGCGCGCTCAAACCAGTATTCAAAGTGCTTTCGTGAAGAGAGAGAGAACACCAGCAAAAACTTAATACGAAACCATTAAATAAATCTGTTTGTAAATATTTAAAAAAAGAATCTGCAATTATGGTAAGTTGTTACAATTCTTTGTTTTGTAAAAGTTTGCACGTATATATATATATATTTATACATATAATTTTATATATTTTATATAAAAAAAGGAAACATATATATATATATATATATATATTTCTATATATTTTTCTTTTTTATTAATATTTGAATATTTGAAGTAATAACAAATTACACAGTAATTTAATTGAATTATGACGTTATATAAAGAATTATGTGTATATTAAAAGATAATTATGTATATATTAACTTTGCGGACGGGACTGTCTGACTCGTAAGTATGCTTGGGCTGTTGTCCGCAAAGAACAAGAAAATTAAAGAAACTAGAAAAACAGTGTTTTTTTTATAAAAGAAAACGACACCATCTTTGTAACTATTTAGCACATTATAATTTAATAAATATATTCTAAATAATACATTACAAATGAGACGAGACGTGATCGATATTTGTGACTAATCAGCCGTGTTTTTTAATTTTTCTGACTCTTCGATCACAAATGTGTTCAATGATTGTATTTGTTGTTAATTTATTATTATGTTTTAAATGCTAGCTATAATTTTAATATTAACAAATTAATTTTAGAGAATTAATTTTTTTGAAACTATATTTTAGACTTAAAATATATTGTAATATATCTAAGCGAACTATCTTTATGTTTACAATTCTAAAATAGACGTTTTATTATGTTTTTAGAAATCAATAAAAATCAACAATATCATCATCATTAGTAGGACAATTGTCGTGACAGTTCTTGTCTGTTTGCCTACATTATCAAGAGCTAATGATGTCTCTTCATATCTTTCGGACAATTATGTAAACGATTCTCTCTCAGGCTTATGCAAAGACGCCATTCTGTCTTTAAACTTTGCAAATACAAATATCGATATTAACTCTGATTTTATCAGCAGTCCATTTATTACTTGTCTTAATCTTACGGGCAATCATATTAATTTTGCACTAGATGCCTTTAGAGAACTTCCAAATCTAACTACTCTATTTCTTTCTAAACTTAAATGCAACTCTGGTATTCACTTAGATGGCCACGAGAAATTAAAAGTTTTTCTTATGAACGACTGTAAGAGTAATTCACCTGATGACTATTCATCTAGATACTATCCATCTAGATATGGCTATTCTGATTATTCAAATGTACGTTCTAAACAGACAGTCTATATTAATGGAAATTATCAAGACTTAGAAATTTTATCTCTTAGAAACAACAATATAGAAAATCTACGATATTCTACAACTCGTTTTACGATAGTCTCCTCATCATCAAACAGTTCGATTACTCCAAATGTACAAAATATTCCATTTCCAAAACTGAGAATTCTGGATCTTTCTAAAAATGTAATAAACAATTCCACTTTTGTGGATTTGTTACCTATACATAGTCTAAGTTTTCTTGATCTTTGTGAGAACTCGCTTGAATCTTTAAAATTAAATAAAAAAGGAGAAAATGTGCATACATTGATTTTAGACAGCAATAAGATAGAGTATGTAGCGTGGCAATCTGCTAAATCGAGTCTCGATCTCATTGGCATGACATCTTTGACATATCTTTCTCTTTTCAATAATCGCATTAACGATATCCAGTCAAATGCTTTCAAAGATACAAACAGGTTAGAATTTTTGAATCTATCCAAAAATGCTATAGAGACTCTGTATCAATACACATTTGCAAATTTGAATTACTTACAGACATTAGATCTGAGTTTCAATCAGATAAAAAATATAACAACTCAACTTTCAAATGAAATAAACATCAGTACTTTGTTATTAAACTACAACAAAATGAATAAAATAACTTTAAACGCTTTCATTCAATTTCCGCAGTTAAAGAAATTGTATTTAGAAAATAATGATATAGAATGGATTGATACTAAAGCATTTAGTCAGCTTTCTATGCTGGAAGAATTGAGTCTGTCGAACAATAAGTTGAGTTTTCTGCCAGAAGGATGGTCTGAATCTTTGATATCTTTAAACTACTTGAATTTAAACAAAAATAAGTTTACTTCGCTGGATTCATTGTCTTTAACAAATAAAATACCACTTACACAATTGTATTTTATGAATAATTCGTTAAAATATTTAAGCAATGAAATATTTAAACAGTATATTACATATTTGCCACAAAATCTTATTATATATTTATAGTATATATTAGATTAAAAAGTAAACTTTATATACAACTTGAATTATATATAAACATAAATCTATTACTTATTGCTAACTGAAAATATGATACTAAATAATTGATATACAATTGTATCACCAACTGTTTGTACTAAAAAGAAGAAAAACCAAGAGTGTAGAATTGCTTGTACAATATTTATAAAGAAATAAAAAAAAATATTTTGTACACACTATCAACTATGTTCGGTTTCTGAAAAACTTTAATTTATATTATATATTGTATTAATAATAATATTAATATTTTATCAATACAAACTTCAAAGTTGATATACTTTTATAATATCTGTATTATTAGACGTATTATTATATATAACTAAAAAAATATACTATTATTAATTAAAATATACTATTATTAATATCCGAGAACTCTTTTTTTTCTTTTGTTACAATTAAACATTTATATTATACTTATTTGATGAAGAATGTACAGTATACATAACTAGTAATATTTTATAATACTGTTGTTTATATAATGTTTTATATAATATTTATATAATGTTTTTGTATAATGAGCAATTGTATTATGTGTAATAAAAAATATTTTGTTTAATATATACTAATATAAACTGTATAAATAAAGCGAATTAAATTGTTGGGATCGTCATCAAAACAGAATTGCTACATTCCAGTTTCACTGACTCCGACAAATAGAATTACTCAAGAATACATTATTGACACAAACACAATCTCATAATAGTAATCAAAGAGATATGATGCGGTATAGTAAAGATGTGTGTATTATTGTTATTGTTATTGTATTATTGTTATTGTTATTACTATTATTATTGTTACTACTACTACTACTACTACTGCTACTACTACTACTACTACTACTACTACTACTACTACTACTACTACTACTACTACTATTATTATTATTATTATTGTTATGCGTGTATTATTGTTTTTGGTTTTTAGGTTTTAGTTGTTTTATATTAATTTTATTTTTACAAGTTGTCTTCAGTGGAATTCTGTGTGACTAAAATTTGGATGTTCAGTCAGCAAATTGCGGATATCACGTTATGCGATAGTACATCCAAGGACGCTGAGCAGAAGTTGCACGACGGCCGAAAAGATGCAACAATCGGCATTGCACTTTCCTTAAATCGAATGTTTTTAATCAACCATTCACAAACGATTGGCTGATTAACAACACGTGATGACTGATGTATAAAATAAAAGATGGCGTGCGTTATAGAATTGTTCCAAAAATTGTTTCAAATCGCGTTGTCGCCGGTAGCTTTACCCCTGATTTTATAAACTTTGACCGTAAATTTGTCTCCCAACTTAGATTCCGATAGCCAACGCGAATAACAATATATCCATATATATATGCAAAAATACTAAAAATCATTTTATACAACTAAAAAAAAACAAAATTAGGAAAACACATCCAAATAAAGAACGGCAGAAGAATTTAGCTCTGTTTCTCTTTTTCAAATACAGATCTACTTTTATATAATAACATAAAATATTATATATTATAAAATATTATCTTATTATGCAATATCACAGAGGAATATCATAGTTTTCTCTCAACTAAAAAGATAATATATTTTTCATTTTTTACCAAATAAAAAATTATTTTTCATAAACTTAAGATATAAAATTGTTTACTTTTTTTTTGACTAACTAATGAAACTGTACATGTTATAAGTGAGCACTAAGATAACATTATATATAAAAATATATGAAGTGTTTTTACTAACGCTTTCTATAAGTGAATCTCTACGTCTATTATGTAAAACATTACATCATCTTAAAGATAACTGGCAATCAAAAATTGTTTCCGATATGTATTTATCTCCAGTCAGCAGAAATAACGTATCTATTTCAATAATTTTCATTACCCACTTGAACCAGTATTCAAAGTGCTTGCGTAAAGAACACCAGCAAAATCTCAAGACAAAACCATTCAATAAACGTATCTGTAAATATTTAAACAAATAATCTGCAATTATGGTAAGTTTCTACAATTCTTTGTTTATAAATTTTTATGTATATATATGTATTATATATTTGTATGTATA